AGATTGCACCATTGCACTCTAGCCTGGGTGACAAGAGCGAAACTCTGTCTCAAAAAGAAAAAAAAAGTAATTTGAAATCAGATGAAATTACTTATATTTAGATTAGTAAATATATGCACAGATAATTACATTAATAAAATGTAAAACAACATATATGAAAGTGAAAAGTAAAAAATATTTTCAATTTAAAGTTAATACCATTGCTGTAATTGAACAACAATTTTTACCTTTAGTTTCCTGAATCCAAGCCCAAAAGGAAATCATCATCATGCTGTACTGCATAGTCGTATCAGAAGATAAACCACGCCTAATTTCAAAACAAATTGAGCAATGTGATGGAAATTATGACAACAATTTTATAATAACTGTGGGAGAATTTTTCTTGATTGTTTCTTGTGAAGGGCTTATTGAAAGCCAATATTGTCTTAAAGTGTAATTCAATGAAGAAGATTCAACAAAGGACTAAGCTAATATGGTCTCAGTATTCGGCAAATGTTGATCCAAAAATAAGACTTACAATGTTTAGATGAAGAGATAATGTTTATAATCTTATTAAAATATCTTGTTTTTTTCAGCATGACCAGTATATGTGCAGTATTTTATAACTTTGTTTGTTTCTTTTGAGTTGGTATTTTCTTTGTAAGCTGTAACTAGGTGTCTTTAATTTCCTCCACATGTTTTGAGATAAACACAATAAAAAAGTTTATGATTTTTAAGAATGAACTCATACAATCAACCAAGATAGTACGCTGTATGGGGAATGTGATGTATTAGTTAATTCATTTGTTCAGCATATGCTTATCATGGACATCATGTGCCAGGCACTGTCCTGAGTGTTGGAATATTATGGTGAATATGATAGACAAGGTATCTCTTTACTTTTAGGGGATGAAAAAGATGATAGACAATACAGAAGTAATTCAATGAGCAAACATGATAATTATAGACATAGATGAGTCCTTCGGAAAAAATGAGTTATGTAATTTTCGGTGGGTCAAATTCTACTCTCAATAGAGTTCTTTGAAGAAAGGACATTTGAGATGAAACCTAAATGAAGAAAAGGGTACAGTTACGCAGAAACCAGAAAGGCAGTGGCAAGTACAAAGTCCAAGGCTGGAACAAACTTGGCGATATTCAAGAAACGGAGAAGGCAGTATCGCAGACAGTCAGTGAGAGAGGGAAAAAAGGAATCAAGGGAGGCTGGATAAGTAGGCAAATTCTAGATCACTTAGGGAGTTTTAATTCTATCCTAAGTACAATGAGAAGCAATCGGAATGTTTCAAAAGCAGAGCAATGTAATCTGTTTTACATTTGAAAAATATTTCTGGTTATTGATTAGAAAATAGATAGATGTATATGTGTGTGTATGTTTGTGGGAAGGGTGAGATAGGGAAAGACAGTGCTACTGGCCAGAGTGGAAGCAGAGAGGACACTTTTGATGCTGTTAAACTTATTTTGGTAAGAAACAATGTGATTTTAGTTCTAGGAATAGCAGTAGAAAT